ATGGTTCAAAATATTTTATCATAGACAAAGCTCAATACATTTTTCACTATGCTTATTTCAGGAGCAAACACACAAACCAGATAGATAGAAAAATTTGTATGAAAAAGCCACAAGAAAAAATCAATGGAAAGATAGTTTGACAGCTCATAACATGGTCTATAGGAGATGTGCTAGGGTGACCTGGATTAATATGCTCCTACCCATGCCCAATTAAAAATTGCTAAAGAGATAAATTATGCTATCAGTTATAGTGCCTATAACCGTATTAAAATCATGGAAGTGGCATTATGTTAGTCAGTGCAAAGTATCTACAAATTTATTTTTTTTGTCTAAATAGGGACTGGCACCAAATAAATGGATTCTTATTTATACAAATTCTGTTGACTTTAAATGAAGACTCCTGACTGCCCTTACTTTTATAAACTGAACTAACCTAAATCCTGAACTCCAGAGTTTGGTGCATTAGATCTGCTGAATAATAAAATGTTTAACTGACACAGCCAGCAGTAAACCAAGTTCCCACTGAATCCAATTTTGGTAAAAGTTTACTAACAGACAGTAGAAGGAATTGGTAGGGGTTCACTTTGAGTGTATGCAGGCCTACATAGGCTATTTAGGGATAAAATTTTGGGGATACCAAAATTTCTGCATCTATTTTTTGCAGTGTCTTTGATAATTAGTTTATTAAAAAGGAAGAATTACTAGGAAACAGATTACTATGTGAGTTAAATCCAGTAAATCCTCTCATCCTCCAAAATAAACGTGTATACTTCTCTTTAAAGGGATGGTGGACACTGTTTTGTTTTTTTGTTTCAGTACTGCTGATTATCAAAATCCTCAGGCAAAATCAGAGGATTTCTCTCTTATCCCTGTTATTCTGCTTAAAAAAGCCCCAAGTATTAATGACATCCAAATCAACAATAAACAGCAAAGATACTAAGCTAATCACACCTATCACAAAAGACATCACAGAGGAATAATCTCTATAAATAATCCTGGTTGATACAGTCATTCACCCAAGATGACAATGGGGGCAGATAGTGCTTAGAGTAGAAGTGTTGCTTGTGGGTGAACCTTTCAGTAGTCACAGCCAGCAATGGGAAAAGAGCTCTGCATCAGATGAATTTAAAAAAAAAAAAAAAAAAAAACCAAGAAAGAAAAGAAAAGGAAAAAAAGGCTGAAGGTTATTGGAAGTGTCCTCCTGAGGTTTTTGTGTTTTTTTTTAGCAGCAGCAGCATGTCTTTAATCCCCTTATTCAGTGGGCCTAATGTGCCACCTACTGTTTTAATTCTACATGGCAAGTTTTGGATGGGAGCAATTGTTCTGCAGCACCTAAACAAACAGGCTGATAAAGTGTGAGTTTGGCACATTGGAAACAGTAGTTTATGCAAACACTGCCAAAGAAATCAAAGCTTCACTATCGTTAATACTTATCGTTAATATGTCTAGGTCTGATCCCTTAAAAACCATTCCTGCTCTGCGGACTAAAATCTGATGATCCATTAGCGCCACCTGGTGGCTTTCCTTGCTTTGTAATTTTGTGTACCGCACCTTGACAGTTTTTTTCCCAAGCAGAGATAGGTACTTACTAAAAAGACAAGTAGTATGCCTTTTCTAGGGTTTATCTCGCTAAGTGAAATCCTGCAAAAGTTCGGTACGTCCAACTTTCCAAATTTTAATTTACACAAAATGGGATGGGAGTTGATATGGATTAGATATGGTACGGATTGCAAATATAACACATGCTTTCTTGTCGTGAATAATTCAGCAAAACCCACTGGGTCTACTCACAGAGAGCAATTTCAGCGCTTACAGGGCTGTACAACATGCAAGTGGTGTGTGGTGATATTGGACATTTGTCAGGTAGCAAACCTTTTGTAAATGCTTTTTCCCAAGGTAATTGGTGTTCATGCAGTGCAAAAGCATTGATGTGCCTACCTGCGCACAGCAGCACGCGCACCTGGCAACAAGTGGAAAACAAGGCAGTTGCCCAGATCTTTACTAAAACACTTGCTTAGATACTATATAAAGTGCTGGACAAGTTTTGCTCTAATCACTGTTAAGAACAGTGCTTGCATGTAACCCCCCGAGCGCAGCTCAAAGCCTGAGAGGTGAACAGTGATACGCCCTCCAAGGGAAATTTCTAATAGACGACTGCCACCTGGTGGAACAAGGCGAAGACGTTTCACACACAGAAAAAAAAAAAAAAACAAAAAAAAACCCACACAACAAAAAAAATCATCTGTTTTAAGGTGGTCAGGGCTTTTTCAAATCGGAGATTTTGCGTTAAAAAAAAACACCAGAATACTACCAGAGAGGAGCACCGGCAGCTGGGTGGCCCTGCCCGTGGTGGACACCGAGGTCGACCGGCTCTAGTCCCCTCCCGATCAAGGCATTACACTGCCCACCATGACGGATTGGGAGTTTGCATCATTTTAATTAGTAGCTTTGCAAGCATGGCTACTTTGAACAAATGTAAGTTAAAAAACACATTATAAAAACGCTTTACTTTCAATTCTGTATTTCCTAGACAATATGTATGTACTTTTAAACCCATAACTCCGTAAGTGTTCAAAACCCATACAACTGCTAGGTATGTATCACGTGCAACACAAAATTAACTGCATGAATGAGCTCTGCCTCTGTTGGCAGTTTTCTATCCTAGGAAAAGCATGACTGAGTTGGGCACGAAGATAAGGGTAGAGATTGGCATCTCCGACCCAAACGAGAAATTAAGCCTAAATTGTGACTGAATGGATATTTCCACTCATGTACCGACAGGCAGCAACTGCAGCCTCCCCACACCAGTGATCTGCTCAGAACCCCCAGTATGTTGTGCTGTGTGCCAAGGAAAATCTCCCCTTGGAGGCCCAGTTCTGGTTCTGCTCATCACTAGATGGGACAATGCTGCTTTTGCAGAATAAGTAACTGTGAAACAGGGTTCATCATTTCATATGGGTGTTTTTTTTCACAACTTCAACAAATGTGTGTTCCTAAACTTGCATGTTTTACAGAACACCATGGGAAATACATGTATTATTGGGAGTTAGCAGGCAATCACACTGTGCAATTGACACAGAAATGCGGCTCCATGTTTAAGCGGCATGGAGCTTTAAATCAGGAAGAAAACCCTCTGGTTTAAATTTAGTGGCCTCCACCTGAAGAGAGAAGTGGATATGTAAAAATTTAGAACTGTTCGTTCTGTGACAAGGATAATGTATCCCACTACTTCTGGTTTCAGCCTCTGAGTTTTACTCTTGTGTAAAACGTAGTGTCAGCTGTCACCAAAGCATCCTGGTGAATTCACAGGCTAGGAGCTGTCACCAACAGGTACACTGCTGCTTCTGTTTTCATTTCATTCACCCATTTGCTCACCACTTCATAGAATCACAGAATAGCAGAATGGTTTGGGTTGGAAGGGACTTTAAAAATAATCTAGTTCTAAACCTCCTGCTCTGCTTTGCCCTCATTCTCTAAAAAGGCCTCAACAAGGAGAAGGAAGTATTCTTGGGGCTGAGCACATCACATGCATGCTACATATAAAGAATTAAGTGGATTAGTCGTGCCGCTATGGTTGGTTATGGCTTCAAAGGAAAATATTGGCTGTACCTATGTAAATGTCTCTGTTTAAATGATTTAAAAGGGACCCTTTCCCAGAAGTACAGGTGCATGGCTGACTGAAGCTATTAGGGCTGTGAAAGGGCAAAAATTGCTTAAAAGGAAAAAAAAAGAAATGAGGGAAGGGAAGGTAAAAGGAAAGGTGGGGAAGGAAAAAGGAAACAAGAAAAAGGGAATAGGAAAAAGGAAACAGGAAAAAGGGAATAGGAAAAAGGAAAGGTGGGAGAAGGAAAAAGGAAAAGAGAAAAAGGAAAATGGGAAAAGGCAAGTCCACAAATACGACCACGGATCTCCCTCCCTACACACGAGCCCCTGTATGTCCACCTGCTGCTCCCCAGCCCAGGGCGTAGGGGGGATAGGTGGGCCGGTGGCTGTCCAAAGCCCATCCGGGTGCTCAAGCGAGGGGCGTGCGCCCCGCGGAGCAGAGAGAGGGTTGAAGGGGTTGGGGGCGCGGCGGGGGCTGCGCCCTCCTCCTGCCCGCACAGACCCCGGGTCGAGCCCTCGGGGGCCGGGGCACACACGGAGGCCGCAGCCGTCGGGCGGCCCCGGAGCGGAGCGCAGCGGGGAGGGTGCAGGGGCAGGGCAGAGCGCAGCCGCCCCCCACCCGGCAGCTGAGGACCGACCCCTGGCTCTGCCCGCAGCGCCGCGCCCCGTCCCGCCCCGTCGGGGGGGCACGGGAGGCGGGGGCCGCCCGCGGCAGCGTTACGCACGCAGTGAGCTCAGCAGCGCAGGAGAGTGGCGGCGCGGCGGGGGGCGGCGGGGCGCGCCGGGGTGGGGGCGGCCCGGGCAAACCCCATAAAGGGCGGCGGCGGCCACTGCTGCTGCACTCACCCCGCACGGCGGAGGAGCCGGGAGCGCAGCGGAGGGGTGCGGAGTGCTGAGTTTCCTGTACGCTCTGTTCTGTGCTCCGCAAGCACGGGAAGCTTCTCGGCGCTCGCCTCCTCCCCGCCACGCAGGCCCGTGGAAGCGTCGGCGGGCCCGTCCCGGGGCTGCCGGAGGGGCGAGCGGAGACTCGCCGGAGCGGAGCTGACTCCCCGCCCGCTGCTGCTGGGGAGAGCTAAGGAAGCGGCGGCGGGAAGGAGAAAAGGCAGCGAGAGGAAGAGGACCGAGAGACGGACGGAGCGGACCGGCCGCTCCCCTCGCAGACCCTCGCTCCCCGTCGCCGCGCTACCGGCCATGGGGATGCCGACGCCGCCTCTGCAGTGACTGCGGGACCCTTCCCACTGCTTCACCGGCAGAAAGAAACTAAAGAGACCCCCAAAACCTGAAAGCAAAAAATTCTAAATATATCTATCTATAAAACCAAATAAAGCAATAAAAAGGGCTCCGTCAAGCCGGCGGCTGCAGCAGCAAGCCTTGCCCGTCCCGAGCTCGGCGGCCGCAATGAGGACCGCGGGGCGCCTGCCGGCGCCCGTGCTGGTGCTGGTGCCGGTGCTGGTGCCGGTGCTGTCGGCACTGCTGGGGCTGTGCAGCGCGGAGCGGCAGGCGCTGGTGGTGCCGCGGCGCCTGGGCGCTGTCGGCGGCCGGCAGCGCTTCCGCCTGGAGGCCTTCGGGGAGCCTCTGACGCTGGAGCTGGAGCCGGACAGCAGCTTCCTGGCCCCGGACTTCACCCTGCAGTACCTGGGCGGGCCGCCGCCGCCGCCGGAGGACGATCTCTCTCGCTGCTTCTATTCCGGCACCGTCAACCGGGACCCTAGCTCCGCAGCCGCCCTCAGCCTATGCGCGGGGATGCGCGGCGCCTTCTCCCTTCAGGGCCGCCAGTACCTCATCCAGCCGGCCCCCGGCACCGCGCACAGCCGCGGTGCCCACCTCCTCCGCCTGCGCGGGGCCCGCCGCGCTGCCCCCGCTGCCCGCTGCGCCGTGGCTGAGGCCGAGGAGGGGACGGGAACGGGGCCCTCCGGGCACGCAGGTACCGTCGGGGAGCCGCGCCGCCCTCCGCGGGGAGGGGAAGAAAGGAGAAGGGCGCTCTGCCTCGCCCTGCGCCCCCGACCCAGAGGGGACTGGCGGTGGGGACCGGCCAGTGCTTCCACTTCGTCCCCACCCCGAGGGGCGGCGGGGTGTACGCCCACCGTGGCGCGGGTATCGCTTCTCTGGCCGGCGGCGGTAAGGGGAGGGGTTATTCAGCCGCCACTGCCGAAATTTGGGGGTAGGAGACGGGCGCGGGCCGTAGGGTATATCCCTGTGGTGCAAATCTTGAGTATTGGTGGGATTTGGGTCCCTTAAGGTAGTCTCTCGCAACGGTATTTCTTTTGTTGTGCTCACCTGCGCTTTCCTTCCCTCTTCCTTTCCTTTTTTAATGCAGAAACGGGAAGCAGAAGGAAAAAAAGGTTCGTGTCCAGCCCCCGCTACGTGGAGACCATGCTGGTAGCCGACCAGTCCATGGCCGAGTTCCACGGCAGCGGGCTGAAGCACTATCTCCTGACGCTGCTCTCTGTGGCAGCCAAGTTGTACAAGCATCCCAGCATTCGCAACTCCATCAGCCTCGTGGTGGTGAAAATCATGGTCATTTATGAGGAGCGGAAGGGACCTGATATCTCTTCCAACGCAGCCCTTACTTTGAGAAACTTCTGCAGCTGGCAGAAGCAGCACAACCCACCCAGTGATCGGCACGCGGAGCACTACGACACAGCAATCCTTTTCACCAGGCAGGTGAGGGACACAGAGGTCAAATCCATCCCCATGCCCATTGCTCCCAAACCCCAGAGGTTCCCTGTACCAGGAGACCTCTGAAAAAGTGTTCAGGGGCAGTCTTGTGTCATCACAGCTTCAGCAAAGTAGACTGAAAATAAAATTAGCTGCTTTTCATTTAGTTGCTTATTTTGCTGTTTGCACCATCTCAGGTGAAACTCACAGTATGTGCAGTGTGTTTCTGCCTCATATATTTTTAGCAGATTTAGTATGGAAATTATGCATTTTATTTCTACGTGTAACCCTTGTGTATGTTCCAAAGACAGATTTTTGCCATCATACCCATTGAAGTGCTGAATATTTAAGCTCTTTCCATAAGTAAAGGCAGACTGCCAGGGCTGCGTGTTTTCTTGCCAAGGTTAAGTCTCTGATCTGATTAATAATGAAACTGCCTTTTTTTACAGGACCTTTGCGGTGCCAAGACATGTGATACTCTTGGGATGGCTGATGTGGGGACGGTTTGTGATCTAAACCGCAGTTGCTCTATCATAGAAGATGATGGTTTACAGGCTGCCTTTACAACAGCCCACGAACTAGGTACTTGAAGCTTTGAAGGGCGATTTCACGTGATTAATTGAAACCAGCTCAATGCTGTAAAGCAAGGAGCTGCCCAGCCCACACTGTGGGCTTGCCCCTCGCTCCCCAGGGCAGGTGGGAGGAGGCCAAACTTTGCCTTGTAGTAGGGTTGAACTGCGGAAAGCAAATCCTGTCTGCACAGCACTGACTGCAAGAGCTGTGTATCTGATGGATAGCAGGAAAAAAAGCATGAGGGGGCTGTGAGGGGAGCTAAGATATGGTACCATTTGCTTAAAATTTGGCAGGGTTCAGGTTATTATTTAAAGACCAAGCTGTGAGCAGCTCAGAGTAGTACTTAGAACAGTATTGGTAATGCATAGGACAGACTTCCTAAAATCACAGACTTTTCCTTTTTTTTTTTTTCTTAAGGCCACGTGTTTAACATGCCTCATGACGATGCAAAGCAGTGTGCTGGTATTAATGGAATAAGCCGGGACTTCCACATGATGGCATCTATGCTTTCCAATCTGGACCGCAGCCAGCCGTGGTCTCCGTGTAGTGCCTACATGATTACAACATTTTTGGATAACGGTCATGGTAAGATTATTAAGCTTTCCATTGTTGTGGTGTTTAAGCTGTTGTGATTTAGTAGCCTTTTCTCTTTGCTTTGCTTTTCTTCCCTTTTTCCCTTCTCTCTTTTCTCCTTTTTGATTTTCTCATTTTCTTTTCTTTTTTTCTTTTTTCTTTTCTTTTTTCTTTCTCTTTTCTTTCTCTTTCCCTTTCTTTCCCTTTCTTTTCCTTCCTTTCCTTCTTTTCTTTTCCTTCCTTTCTTTTCCTTTTTTTCCTTCCTTTATCTTTTTTTTCCATTTTCATTTTTCCACTTTTCTTTCCCCTTTTCCCCCTCTTCCCCCCCCCCACTTCCTTTCTTCCTTCCTTCCTTCCATCCATCCCAGTGCTTTCTGCTACAGCATAGAGTTAACCCTTTACATGCTGCCCGTGAATTTAGAAGACAGCAGTGATGCACAAATTGTTTCAGAGATTTACATTACAAAGTGAATGCAGTTCCCTTTTGAAGCTGAATTCACTGACACAATTGTCTGCTGCTTTTTTGTTTACTATTTTTCTTTTTTCTTCCTTTTCAGGTGAGTGTCTGTTGGACAAGCCCCACAAACCAATCCAGCTTCCTTCTGACTTGCCTGGCACTTTGTACGATGCAAACAGACAGTGCCAGTTTACATTTGGAGATGAGTCCAAGCACTGTCCCGATGCAGCCAGTACGTGTACGACACTGTGGTGTACTGGCACTTCTGGGGGACTGCTTGTGTGCCAAACCAAACACTTCCCTTGGGCAGACGGCACCAGTTGTGGGGAAGGGAAGTGGTGCATGAATGGCAAGTGTGTGAATAAAACTGAGAAGAAGCATTATGATGTAAGTATTAAAAAAGAAATGGGAATATATCTTGGGGTGCACAGCAGCATGCATAATGCTTCAGTGGGAATAATCAGTTAAAAGGGCTTGAATAAATGGAGTCAGATAACTGATAAACAGCTTTTTTTCTATAACTGGCTTAGGTAGAAATGAGCATGATTGTGGGTTTTGTGGTTTGCTTTTGGTTTGCTTTTACTGTATTAACTTTTTCTTTCTGCTTTTGCTTGTCCTTCCAGACACCAGTGCATGGGAGCTGGGGGTCCTGGGGGGCGTGGGGAGAGTGCTCCCGGACCTGCGGTGGTGGAGTGCAGTACTCCTTCAGGGAGTGTGACAACCCTGTCCCGAGGAATGGGGGAAAATACTGTGAAGGAAAGCGGGTGCAATACAGATCATGTAACATTGAGGACTGTCCAGACAATGATGGTAATCTTTTCCCCGTTTCTGAGGCAGAGGAAGGGTATCTTGTGGAGGAAGAGCATGTACAGAACATGAGCTTATGTCCACCTGTCTTTCTTCTGCCTGCAGGCAAAACCTTTAGGGAGGAACAATGCGAAAAGCACAATGAGTTTTCCAAGTCTCCCTTTGGAAGTGGACCTGCAGTGGAGTGGACACCCAAGTTTGCCGGTGTGTCTCCGAAGGACAGATGCAAGCTGGTCTGCCGAGCAAAAGGAACAGGATACTTCTTTGTTTTACAGCCAAAGGTACGTCAAAACCATACCTCATCCATCTAATCATGAATAGGATTTTTATTTCCTCTAATCTTTATGTGAAGTTAAGAGTCAAGCAGTTTAGAAATGTGAAATCATGTCTTTCTCATGTTTCAGCTAGATTCTACTTTCTCCTTTTCCCACATGTACAGCTTGATCAGTGCAAGCATGCTTTAGATATTCTGGCACAGTCCTTCCAGTTACTTCACCCATACTGCCTCCTCTACCCACTCCACCCTAGTTTCCTTTCCTAACACCGATGTGACTACACTGAGATATGTTTGGAAAACTCTGGTGGCTCTTTGCCGCAACATTGGTGCTTTCTCATACCAGTTACTAATATGCTGACAGCTTAAAATAAACAAAAGGAAAAATGTTCATCTTGCATAGCTACTTGAACTCGCTGCCATACAATGGTGAGAGCCAATAACTACCAGGGTGATGACACAGAAGTTTTTTGTAGGGCAGTGCTCCTAGAAATAAAGGGTACATTGAAAACCATTAAAAGCAATTTTGGTCCTGTCCTTTGAGGACATGACTCCCTTCTAGGGATATTAGAAAACAAAGTTCTTTCTTTACCATGAAATCAGTAAAACAGTTCTGTGGGGTAGGGTTTGGGGGGGGAGGGGGCATTAAAAGAAATTGGTTGGTTTATCGGGTCACTATGGCATCATTGTTGCAAGTGGGATGAAAATAGCATGCATATCTCCAACTGTCTGGGGGCTGCTTTGAATTTTAGTTTAGAAAGCCCTGAAAATAGGGGTGCTGCAGGTCTTCCACCTGTCCGTATTTTGCATTTGGTATGTTTCTGTATTGAGCAATTTCAGAGTAATGTGCCTCTTATAATCAAACGCCCTACTGCTTGTTCCCTGCAAAGGTTGTGGATGGTACTCTGTGTAGCCCCGATTCCACCTCTGTCTGCGTCCAGGGGCAGTGTGTAAAGGCTGGCTGTGACCGTATGATAGGGTCCAATAAGAAGTTTGATAAATGTGGTATCTGCGGTGGCAATGGATCCACTTGCAAGAAAGTGTCTGGCACACTTGTTAGAGCAAAGTGAGTATGGAACTGCTGCTTTTATTTTATTCTGGGGAATGTTTCGTTGGTGTAAGTTTTGGGTTTCCAAGTTTTGGATTTTCAAGTTTTGGATTTCCAAGGTGAAATGTTGTCCCAGTTTATGTTTGGAACAGATTTGATCTGTCAGAGCCACCTGACTAAGGATAACTTACAGTGAGATAGATCCCAGTGAAAGAAAGCCCCTTACAAGCTCTACTGTAGCAATAATTTGGGATGTGATTTTGCAAATCCCTTAAACCATTAGTTTGACTAGGTTGAGAGCTCACGAGTTTAGTGCTTCATCTTCAAATAAAATCCAGTTTTCTGTGGGGCAGCTTCTTCCCTTTCACAGGGAAGAGCAGAGGATTCAGTCTTTCTCTTTTCTCTTGGTCAGACCTGGCTACCATGATGTTGTCACCATCCCAGCTGGGGCGACGAACATCGAGGTGAAGCAGCGAAACCACAGGGGTGCAAGGCATGACGGCAGCTTCCTCGCCATCAAAGCTGCAGATGGCACCTATGTCCTCAACGGTGATTACACCCTGTCAACACTGGAGCAGGACATCACCTACAAGGGCAGCGTGCTGAGGTACAGCGGCTCCTCCGCTGCCTTGGAGAGGATCCGCAGTTTCAGTCCTCTGAAGGAGCCCCTGACGATCCAGGTCCTCACAGTAGGAGACCTGCCACAGCCCAAGATCAAGTTCACCTATTTTGTGAAGAAGCCCTCGCAGCCTGGGTCAGAGAAAGCACCCACTAGAAAGAAAGAGTCCTTCAATGCCATCAGGGAGATCATCTCCTCCGAGTGGGTAATCAAGGATTGGGGCGAGTGCTCCAAGTCGTGTGGCTCAGGCTGGCAGCGGCGGGCAGTGGAATGCCGGGATCCCCAGGGGCGGCTGGCCGCCGACTGTGCCCAGGAGCTGAAGCCCAGCGACGTGCGTCCCTGTGCCGATGTGCCCTGCCCACAGTGGCAGCTGGGGGACTGGTCACCCTGCTCTAAGACGTGCGGGAAAGGTTTCAAGAAGAGGTTGCTGAAATGTATTTCTTATGATGGCAGCGTGCTGCCACAAGAAAGCTGTGAGCCTTCCAAGAAACCAAAACACCTAATAGATTTCTGCAGTGTTACGGACTGCAGTTAAATTGTTTAAGTTGGGAAAGCTAACATGTTTTATTATTTTATTTTCCTTCGGAACAGTGCACTGAAAAAAAAAAACAGAGGGCTAGAGGCAGTGCATGTGTTTTTGCATACAAAATTCATGGTGAGGATCCATTGAGGTGGGACAGTGCAAATTGCTTTAGTTGGCATTGCATCCTAAAAATACCCTGCCAACTGAAAGTTTGATAGGATAGCAGACCCATGTCACTCGCTCATCTTCAGCAGATAAGGCCCAAGGGCATTATAATTGCCTTTTTTAAAGTCTGTTACAAATTAAACAAAATGTGAGCAGTGCCTGAAACACGTTTAAGCAAACATTTCGGGGTTTGGTTATTTCTCCCTTCTTTTGGATTTACATTGTGGTACTGATCAAGTCCCCATGTGTAGGAAGGGGAGGGAAAGGAGAGTGGAAAAGATAGCTTAAAATAATTGGTCAGGGCTTACCTACCTCACGAAGGGCAAAAAACAGGATTGGAAAAGGAGCTTTAAAGAAGTCATTCATGGCTGCTATTGTTTCAGAGAATAGTTTTATATAAAAATAAAGCCATATTCTCTACCTGTAAAGAGTAAGAAGTACCAAGAACAGTCAGTCAACTCCACGGCTAATTAGAATGTCACTTTTTCTAAAGTATCTTTATGTCATCCCAATGTGCCTGTCCATTTCTCTCCACTCCCAACACCATTGTGGTGACATATGTAGTGCAGAGGCTAGAAAAAGTGGAAATCTTCATGGAGCACGTAGTGTCTCAGTCTTTTGTGCCTTCTGCATGCCTTCCACTGGCTTGTCTGATTGGAACTCGGTCCTACCATCCTGTCAAACAGCCTGATGGCATTTGTGAGCATCTAGTCATGCTTTCACGTTCAGATCTTTTACCTTACCCCAGCCAATGGAAATTATTTGCATTTGAGTTAAACAAGCAATCCCGCTATGAATGGGAACCTCTCCTATGTGGCCTCTGATGGGTTTGTAGTGCTCAAATCACTGCTAAGGCGGGAAGACAAAGCTGAAGGATAGCAGGTCCGTCCACAGCAATATGCCAACATTCACATAAAAAAATGTTTGTGCCAGTCCATAGACAATGAGAGAATATGGCTTTCCATATGTATATAGTAAAATATATTACTATAGATTTTATGTACTTCATAAGTATTTTATATTTCTTTCCCTTCTGGGAAGGGTTATAATTTGTAATAAATGCATATAATGAGCATATTTATTTTTATACTTCTTGTCTAATGTGATCTTCTAAGTTATCGCTTTTTTAAAAGGACATATAACAAGGATAGAGTATTTATACAGTATAATATGTTACTAGAGGCAATAAATGAACCTTATAAGTTTTGGAAATGGAGCGTCTTTATTTCACTGGAGTAAAACTAGTCCACGGAGTGGAAAGAACTTGGGATCTCAGGCAAATGTGATGAAAAAAAGCTAAACCACAGTTGAAAACGACTGGTAGCTTAGGCTACTAATTGACTGTGTTAGTGAAGGGCTTTGGAAAACTCTACCCATAATGTCATACACCACAGTAAAAGGGGTAATTTTCGATTTTATTACTCAACCGCTAACATGGTGCTCAGCACTGGTGTTTCATCTTCTAAAAAAATGAAGTGCAACTGGACTGGTGCCACTGGTTTTAATAACAGCGCACAGAGGAAGTATTGCTGTCAGTAGTGTTTATAACCAACAAAATATGTACAAAAGTAGCAGTTTTACCTGCTCCACTTAGCCTTATCCTACGGGGAAAGAAGCATTCAAAATTCAAAACCATTAACTGGCAGTCAGAGGTTTCCCCTCACAGATTTCTGGAGGGCCTCCTGATCATGCTTTTCTAATTAGAAGTACTGCATGAATGAACTGTTCTAATGTTGTTGGTTACACGTTTTATAATGTTAAAATACATACTAAGCATCAAGCTGATTTTTGCTCTCTCATTTCTGATCTCATGACCACGGCAGTCGGGGGAAAATCTGCTGTTGGACTTGGTAGGATTTTTGCCATGGAATTTGAGACATCAGTAATTTATGAATACTTTTGGCTTTGTGTCATGTAAAAATCTATTAAAACTTCCTTTGCCAATGTTTGGACTCTGTCTTGCAGAAATAGTTCTCACTTTATTCCACGGATAAAATCCTGGCCCCTCTAAAGCACATAGAAAAATTCTCATCACGTCACACTTCATTGAGCATTACTTTGACATACAAAAATACTGGGGAACATTTTACTTCTAACATTATTTATGAGGAAGCCAATCACTTTCTGGCTTTATAAATACTTAAAGTATTTTATAATATACATAATATTTTTATTATATAATACAAAGTAGTTTATAATACTTAAAATATAACAAAATATAAACACAATATACACATGTATATTTTACTACATCAGGTTAAAACTAGGAATATATACTTTTTCAAGAGAAAAAACGCATTTTCATTTTCTGCTGCTCTTCTTACTTCTTGTAGACTTCATGTCAGAACACATACCAGTTGGTTGGTGTTGCCTGGAAATATTCTCCTTGCAAGAGCCCAGGGAGCTACAGTCCTGAAACTGCAAGAAAGACCCTGTGATATCTACAGAACTGGGGAAGTCCCTCAGCTGCTGGGGGATGGTGGATGCCCAAGTTTGCTCTCATCAACCTAGAAGAAACCTTCAAGGGAAGGCTAAGAAAGTCCTGTGGAGGAAACAGCTTCTCCCAGACCTCTCCATATCAATTAAAGCAAGCCCAAGGTGCTGGCATACTCTTGCTTTTTGCAGTAGTGCTTCGGGATGCTCTTGAGAGAAAAGAATGGTGTTTCACAGGCACTGCCTTTCACACTGAAGGGAATTTGGATCCAATCAAATGCAGCAAACTCCCCCACTTTTAACAAAAGGTGCCGACGTGTCCTGTCCTTTTAAATGTTTCAGTTACCTAGATTAGATCGCCCAGCCCCATGGTTAACTAGAGCTAAGTGAGGCATTGTTGTGGTTTAAACTCAGCCAGACAGCTTGTTCACTCACTAACCCCCCAGCTTCTTGCCCTCCCCCTACTCCCGAAGGAAGAGGAGAATCGAATGCAACTCCCAGTTGAGATAAGAACAGTTTAGTAACTAAGGTATAACACAAACCACTACTGCTACCACCAATGATAACAATGATAAAGGAAATAACAAGGGAAGAGAATACACCTCATCACCAGACGAGAGATAACTCGGATAACTCGCCCTCCCCAACTCGACCAAGCACTGACCGATGCCTCCTCCAACCCTGCAGTCTCCCAGCCCTTCCGGCTAACTCCCAGTTACATCCTGGGCATGACGTGCTGTGGTATGGAATACCTCTTTGGCTAGCTTGGGTCAGGTGTCCTGTCTCTGCTTCCTCCCGGTTCCCCTCCCTGGCAGAGCATGAGGCTCACAAAGTCCTTGGCCAAATGATGTTTTGTCATTGTTATCAGCTCTGTTCCCAAGCCGAAAGTCAAAACACTGCACTGCACCAGCTACCAAGAAGGAGAAAAATGACTGCTACTGCTGAACCTATGACAGGCATCAGAGAGAGGGTGAGGGAAATCAAATGCATTTGATATTTTACAATGACAAATGGCAATAAAAACAACTTTTTAAAAAAAAAGAACTGTTACAAAGGACTGCATAATTAAATGAGTGATGAACTAGTAAAAAGTTCTGGTATCATTTCAGCCCATTTGCCATGGTGGCATTCACTTCTTTAGAGCATAAACACAGCTGCAGAAGGTCAACTCATCACCCACAATTGTAGCACAGCTGACCAAGACTGCCTTTCCACTTCATAGTTTATGTATTTTTCTTCAACTAGATCATGACTTCTCAGCGTTTGCATCTGTTACACAGTAAGATGGTTCATGAAGTTATATCTTGTTTTTAATAGAGCTGGATTAAAGAGAAGGTGCTCCAAATAATTTATTAATTAAGCAATGCAATCAAATAACTTCTCCCTTCCAAAGTGCCCTTCAGTTACAAGAAAGTCTGCTGTTCTGGGTGACACAGCAAAGGGAAACAAGATAAAACAGTATAGTTCAGCTGTGTAGCAATCAACATCACTATTAAACACATCCCCTGCACCAAGAGTCTGGCAATTTATAGCTTTTATTGCAAAGGACTGAATAGTTAAGTGCTTTTCGTGTGCACGTTCATTACTGTGAGTGGAGGAATGGCAACACTTTATTCCTGACTCATAAGGCACACTCACAGGAGCAGAAGTGGAACTGAAGCTTGGGTTGGGGTGCGTGTAAGAAAGAGCTTGTGCTTTCTGCCAGCCTTGGCTCTCTCTGCTTGGGCCAGGGCCACTGATTCCACTGACATTCAAATGGGCTTCAGATGTGAGACAAAGATTGTTTTTTTCAACCAGGATGTCTCAGGTGTCCAGTTTGACAGGTTGGGTGGGAGGTGTCCAGTGCCCAGCATTGCAGCTGAGGACAACCTCACACCAGTTTAAGAGCCAAATTTCTCCAGCTTCCTCCTAGGTTCAGGAGGCCACATGCTGTAGTCTGGGGTTTTTACATTTTCAGTGTTGTAAGATAAATGGCTTTAGCTGAGTAGATGAAATCTGTATCTTTAAGTATTTCAGAGATGTGGTGAAAGGCATGTGTCTGAATGACCGAAATGTGTCTTCCTTAATCATGCTTGGTTTCATGGCTTTCGATGCTGAGTGATCTTCCAGTTCTTGGTAAGGCTGAAGTCTCTTTGTTGGGAGACTGAGGCAAATGAAAGCAACTTAGTGTGCAGTTCTTTGCCATTTCAGGCATCATGAGGTAGGGAAAACTCTTTCCAGCCTTTCACCTTCAAAGAGCTTTGCACTGGGACCCAATCTTCAGACTTCACCAAGTTAGAAAATAACTGGAAGTTATAAGAGGCAAACTGGTACACTAGAGAATTACCTTGCAGTCAGACTAGATATAAAACTGTGGTATCTATGCTGGGTAAGCACTGTAAATGGTACTACTAGAAAATCTGCAATAGCTGTTCTCCTGTGGCACTGTTAAAATCATAGATACTATTATTTACTGCTTGAAATTGTATTAACAATAAATAGGAAAAAAAAATCAATAGTATGTGATAGGGTACTTAACCTGCTGCATCCCACTTTCTTTAGTCCAATAGCCATTTTAAAAAGAGATGCTGGTGTTTTTCAAATAACTATTTTGCCACTGATTGTAGTATATGTTGTTTCATAGCTCAGAAAGGTTGGTTGCTATTAAAAAGCTGCTTCTGTTCGAGCATTCAGAGTAAAGAGATGATCCTATATTTCTGGTATGGAAGAATCCTGAAATTGTCTAGAGCTGATACACACTTTAGCAGCTGATACTTGCATTTCAGAGCCAGCAGTTGCCCGAGTATTTTCAGAAGTGTAATTTTAGTGTAAGGACATTGACTTAGAGCATAAAAGCCCCAGAGTTATGTATATGAACAACACTGATTTGCCAGGTACTAGCAAAGCTGGCATCTCACTTTCTGAAATGCAACTCCATATAGCTTGTAATGTGGCAACTGGATTCCTTTGTTTGTAGTTTCACAGTAGCTTTCATTCAAATCAACATCTCAAAGCAATGTATGTTTCAGTAAAGTCTGTCAGACCTTGTACAGAAAAACAAGTAAGAGCTTTGCTTTTATCATTGCCACATCACAAGTTGCAAAATAATGTGATTTGTTTAATGCTGTAGGATAGATGATATGGTCTAGGCGTTGGGGGAAAATGTTACCCAAAATATCTTAACCCACTAGCTAGGTTAGGGAACAGAGAGGAAAATATTCCTAATGAAATTTGGAAAGGCAGCTTCAGAATAATAGCTCAGAGTCCTCAGCAAACCCTCTACCATAATGTCTATCTTCTGCTCATCAGCTGGCTATGAAATTGCTTTGCTTCAACAGCCTGATGTTATTCTGGACCTCATAAACCTAGAAAAGCTTTTCATCCCATGCAATTGCAAACATGCCTACCAACCACTATTTGGAGCAAAGATCAAATCCTGTCTGATATGGTCATGACTGCTTAGTCCTCAAGGCAAAGGGGGTATAATTAGGTGAAAAGTTTTCCCTAGCAAAGGTCACAAAATACAGCAAACTGATTTCCCACCCCACACCCCCTAAACCAGAGGTGACTCCCTAGGACATGTCCAGGCTGCAACAGGAGTGTAAATAAGCATTCAGCCATAGCCCTCATTTTGCATGAACATTTGCATTTTGCCCCGTTTTACATAAACAGGGTGTGCAGTTGTAACATGTGGAGGCAAAGACCAGACCAGGAGATTGCCACCTCTCCTAGCAGCGCCTGCCTGATAGCTCTTCCATGGCAGCATCAAACCTTGATGTTTTCCTAGTAAAGCAGCAGCT